GGTCGTTGCCACATGTGAAGCTTGGCAAGTTGTTCTTGAAATGTGCCATATTGAAGGATATCAACTCTTTCATCCTCTAGATAATGCTCCCTCACATCTCAACATTGAAAAACTGTGTAGCAGGGATGAAAAGATCAGGTGCCAGGCATTGCCACTCAACACCGCCTATGTCACACAGCCAATGGATCAAGGTGTTATTTATGCTGTGAAAAGGCTGTACAATCGCAAGTTTTTGAAGGAAGTGATTGTGGTGGAGGAGACAAGCGAGGATCAGGTGAAGGAAATGAGGGCAGAAGACAATCAGAAACTTCATGTTATACAACTTCAGGTCCATGCTCTCCAATTTTGCTGCTGTTGCCAAAGAAGTCAAGGCAACAACCCTTATCAGTGCTTGGAAGAAGCTCCTTTATGACATTGATTAAGAGCATGAATTTGAAGGTTTCACATCAGAAGACTACCACACAAATCTTCTCCAAGCAGGAGAGAAGGATGCTACAATTGAGGATGTGGAGGCTTGGCTGGAGGCTGATGAGGATGATCATTGGATACCACAACTTGACAGAGGAGGAGACTGTGGACTCTGTACATGAGGCTGCAGACGACTTTGATAATGATGAAGAGAAGGAAACTGAACCACCAAAAATAAAGATGCCAGAAGCTAGGGACAGCCAGGACACCCTTATAGAATTTGCTTATTCAGACTAAAGATGAAAATAAATGGGGCCTATTACGATCACTAAAGGCACCTGGGGGAGCTTGTCATACAGGACCAAAGAAGCAAGGTCACTCAAACAAAGATTGACACTTTCTTCAAGCCAAGACCCTCCAGCCGTGCACCCTTGCCCTCACCACCAACCTCCTTGTCAGAGGAGGGTCCTCTTCATATCCTCATTTCTGACTCGGACTTAGAGTGACTGCAAGCCTCTTGCAGTCAGAAACATTGATTAAAGAACATGTATTCCTTTATTAAAAATTGGATACATTGGTGTTGTACTCATTTTGTTGTTTGAAATATTTACCTGTATTTATTTATTTTTTTTTTAATTTTGCTCTAAGGCAAACAACCTCTTATCCCTGGCACCCTTCCTCCAATTAGTCTGCCATAAGAAGCTGATGATACGAAAATATATAGTAATAAATTTTGGAGGATGTGTGTTGGTGTTGGAGAGTTTGTTGGAGGGTGTGTGTTGGAGTGTGTGTGGTGGTGTTGGAGGGTGTGTGTGTGTGTTGGTGGTGTTGGAGGTGTGTGTGTGTTGGTGGTGTTGGAGGGTGTGTGTGTGTGTGTGTTGGTGGTGTGGAGGGTGTGTGTGTGTTGGTGGTGTTGGAGGTGTGTGTGTGTGTTGGTGGTGTTGGAGGGTGTGTGTGTGTGTGTGTTGGTGGTGTTGGAGGGGTGTGTGTGTGTTGGTGGTGTTGGAGGGTGTGTGTGTTGGTGGTGTTGGAGGGGTGTGTGTGTGTGTTGGTGGTGTTGGAGGTGTGTGTGTGTGTTGTGGTGGTGTTGGAGGGTGTGTGTGTGTGTTGGTGGTGTTGGAGGTGTGTGTGTGTGTTGGTGGTGTTGGGGTGTGTGTGTGTTTGGTGGTGTTGGAGGGTGTGTGTGTGTGTTGGTGGTGTTGGAGGTGTGTGTGTGTTGGTGTGGTGTTGGGGTGTGTGTGTGTGTTGGAGGGTGTGTGTGTGTTGGTGGTGTTGGAGGGTGTGTGTGTGTGTTGGTGGTGGAGGGTGTGTGTGTGTTGAGGAGTGGTGTTGGAGGGTGTGTGTGTGTTGTGGTGGTGTTGGAGGTGTGTGTGTGTTGGTGGTGTTGGAGGGGTGTGTGTGTGTTGGTGGTGTTGGAGGGTGTGTGTGTGTTGGTGGTGTTGGAGGTGTGTGTGTGTTGGTGGTGTTGGGGTGTGTGTGTGTTGGTGGTGTTGGAGGCTGTGTGTGTTGGTGGTGTTGGAGGTGTGTGTGTGTTGAGGTGGTGTTGGAGGGTGTGTGTGTTGGTGGTGTTGGAGGTTGTGTGTTGGTGGTGTTGGAGGTTGTGTGCTGGTGGTGTTGGAGGTTGTGTGTTGGTGGTGTTGGAGGTTGTGTGTTGGTGGTGTTGGTGGTATTGGAGGGTGTGTTTTGATCTCACTAGAGGAAAGGTCACAGCAGGCTTAGCTCCTGGGGATTAATTGTCAGTAATGGCTAGTGCTTGTTACGTTTTAAATGCAGGAAAGTGGTTTTCCTACCGTAGAACTCGGATACCTTCACACTGGTTACTCACCCAGGGGATTATGGTGTATCACTACGTAGAATTTCACTTGGTAATAATAATAATAGAGGGATCACAGATACGGGCAGATGATTGCACTTTCGTTTATTTGGCACAATTCCATACACTGGACTTATAATTTGCATGGATAGGTCAGTCACTCACATTCACGCCAGAGTACCATAAGTTATAAGGTAGAGTTTGTCAACCTGGAGAATTAATCGTTTAGATCTATTGGCCGGCCTGGAGTGCTTTTGTAGCAAACAGGTCCTCATCATTGATCACTTCCTTTACAGGATGTGTTAACTTGTCGCTGGACTTAACAAAAATCTCGGGGATTTGCACACACAGACTCGTAGGACTGTATGGCTCCTGTTCTTAAGTCCGCGAAGCAGGAGGTCTTCTCTAACCCAAGGTCTAAAGCCCACCGGCTAAATTGGTTTTTTGAGGCGTGAAGTGATGAACAGTACACCACTGTCTCATTGACCTGCCCCTCCTATCGGCTGGCTAACATACCACTAATTGAAAACATGTCCCAGTTATGGCTGGCTGGTTACCTTATCTCTACTGTAAACAAACTTTTGGGATGGGTTGTGCGGGAGGCCCAACGCAACCCATGACAGTGCCAATTGTGAACAGGGCTGTGCCCTTCAGAGGGCTGAATTAGAGAGGGCCAAGGAAGAAAACTTGAAACTAAAGGAAATAATAGTGAGGATGAAGGAAGAAACGAGACCAGGAAAGCTCGTGTCTGATGAAAACTCAGGCGAATGGAGGGTTGTGAGGAGAGAAACGACCAAACTGGTGGTGAAAAAATACTCCAAGGATATGACAACAGCAACTAGGTGTACCAACTCTTTCAGTCATTTGATAGACGAATTGGACGTTAGCATAGTCAGGGACAGGGCTGACAAGGAAGGTACGAAAACATTAATTGTTGGCGATCCCCAGGTACGGTCCCTGGATAGAGCTTTTTGTGGTAAAAATAAAAATTGGATGAGGGTGTGTTTGCCAGGAGCTGGAGTGAGGGATATAGTTGGCAGGATTGACAATATCTTGTCTGGTAATGGGAACAGGAGGCAAAGATATTGGCCAGTGTAGGAGTCAGGAGCTTCTTGATAAGTTCAAGACAGCTATAGAATGTATTAGGTCGAAGGGAAGGATCCCTATTATATGTGGTGTCCTGCCTAGAAGGAGAGTTGGCAATGAATGGTTGTCAAGGGCAGTTGGTGTCAATGGCCGTCTTGACAGATATTGCAAGTCAATATCAGTCCCATTCACTGACAACTGGGACAAATTCTACGGCAGAAGGGACCTTTATGCTAGGGATCGGGTGGCAACCCTGGCTGGCTCTCTCGAGAGGGCAGCTCAAAAAATGTCAGTCTTTAAAGTGCTAGGAGAACCTATGAGCACGGGGGTGGAGGAGACTGCAGTGGGAGCGGGTAAACAAAGTGAAAGGTTACAGGTAAATAGTGCTAGGAATTATGACAAAACTAAATTAGGCAGAGACAAAGAGAGGGCTCAAACACAACTAACTTAAATGCCTACTACGCAAACAGTAGAAGTATGAGAAACAAAATGGATGAAATCTGGGCGTTGGTATGTACGGAAAAAATTTATATACAGTAAAACCTCGATTAACAACTTTCGGATTAAACGCCGATCCCGGACCCCTAATTTTTTTTTTTTTTTTTTTTACGGGGATTAGCCCACCCGGGCACAGGTAATGAATGTAATGATGATGATAATAATAATAAAGAAATGCAAAAATGAAAAAAATAATCAAGATTAAGAAACAATATACCCATATGTATGTTGTGTTGTCAATAGTAAGAGAAATAATTGAGACCCTGCAATTGTGTAAATGAGGCAGAAAGTGAGATTAGCAACCTGGGACTTGGTCACAATTTTTGTGATGACATATGTTCTTTGACTTTTTCATTTTTTATTCACGGTTTCTGTGCTGGTTCATATTTATTTAATAAAGTGGTTAATGTTTTAAAGCAAATTCTATTGAAATATGAATGGCAAATGAACAAAAATGAATAGAGGGACTTAAATGAGGTAGGTTAGAGATAGGTACATTGAAAATGTATGTTTTATTTCCGTAGATTTTATTTACTATTAACCGACCTTTCGGATTATCCGTCGGCCCCTTCCCCCCATATGTGGGCGGTTAATCGAGGTTTTACTGTAATAATGTTATTTAAATAGACTTAACAGCAATGATTTCCACGACTGACCCTCCCTCATCCGACCCAACTTTATTCAGAAATCTGGTAATATATTTCACGAGTAGCTGTCCCGGTGTGTTATGCACAAGAAACACGCATTCGTGTATATTATTGATGGTAATGTTCAATAAAATTAAGTGCTTCTGTTATTTATTGGGTAATGAAAAAAGTAAAAAGACAATATTTAGAAACTCCAGGACATCCCTGTCAGCCCTAGATTAGACGAATGCTTCTGATTAACGAGTTGGGAGTTCACACCTCATGGGGAGTGTGGATTGACATTGCTGACTGTAACAGTTGGAAACTCCCCAACTGTACATCCTTCTTGTTTTTCCCTCCCCCTCATACCATCCACTTCAGTATTTTACATGTTTTACCAGTTATTCATTTCCCATTCTTTTAATTGACAAATTTTAATTTACCAGATTTTTTTAGTCAAATAGACTCTTGGATTAAACAGAATAGAATAAAATTGATAAACAATTATCATAAATCTACAGGTTTTTTATCTCCTTTCTTTTTTTTATTACTTCTTTTTTTACTCACAGAGAGTAAGTATACCCCAACATTAACTAGTGAAGGGGCTGTGAGAGGGGAGGTCAAAGCACATCATCTCCTTGTCCTTCTTCTTAGACTCCGTCAGATCTGCTGCCATCCTTCACTCATTCAAGGGGTAAGTTACGTCATGATTTCTCATTGTATTGGGTTAGCTTTCATATGTACAGTCTCCTTCAAGATTCTTTGAACACTGCTGGAAGACAGCTGGCAACTCAAGGCCGTTTGTTTACTATATTACGTAATAAAAGTTATGAATAAATGTAAAAGTGATCGGTTACTTAGTTCCCCGTTGCTTAATTTAATGGTTGGGCTTTGTTGTTTCGCATTATATTATACTACGTACTATAGTAAACAAACGGCCTTGAGTTGCCAGCTGTCTCCAGCAGTGTTCGAAGAATCTTGAATGAGACTGTACATGAGTTCCCCATATTACGGAAGGGATGTTATTAGTGAATATATTTTCATATGGAAAATTTTTTACCAACAAGTAATTTAAACCAAACTTATTAATGGAGATATACATTTTTGAACACACACATTAGTTAAATCCTGACATTTACCACTCTGATTACATACAATCTTATATGATGACCATATCTGACAATTTGTATATTGAACACTATTAAAAAATACAGTAAAGTAACCCCTGATTTTTTTCATACAGTAGAACCTCCACAAATCTGACTAATTAGGGCAGACCCAGTCTGAAAAATGCAAAAGTCTGAAAAAGCAAATACAGTTGTATCCTGCTTAACGCGGTCAATTGAACCCACAGGGTACCGCGTTAAATGAACAACAGAACATATGGGATTAATTCCAATAGAGACTGGCCCGACCCCCAACTCCACTTTTTGACGACACACAACTATGTTGTAGTAAAAATATTATCTTAACTTTATGATGGTATGCACACACAATTAATAATTAAGAGAAATGTCAATAATATTAGGTTTTTTAACACTTACATTAGTAGAAAAGATGGCTGGGCACACGGGGATGGGGGGTTGGTTCCGAGGCAGAGGGCAGATTATTGACCCTCACCTGTATCACTTGTATCAATTGTATCACTATCCACCACAGAGGCTTGCAGGGCCTCTTTGTCAAACCCCTCAAAGTCCATATAAGTCCATATCCTCACTATATTTATCACTATCACTGACTTGGGTCGGCTGTGGTGGGTGGCGGGTGAAGAACTCGGAAATGTTTTGATGACTGGGCGACCTTGTACGCATCGTGCCCGCGCCGCTTCCCGCGTGTATGTGTAGATGAACCGCGTTAAGTGAAAGTTCGGTTCTGGCGAGGCACCGCGTATATGAGAAATCGCGTTAAGTGAAACCGCGTTAAGCGGGGTACAACTGTATATGTGGTGGGTGGGTAAGCATTGGGGGCATTTGGGATAACACTGCTTATCTGAACTGTTTAAAGAAAATCAGTTGTTGTTACGTATAGGAGTAGTATATTTGTACGTGGAAGACGAATGTTTAAATTGGAGTAGCTGGCAGAGCATGGCCCCCTCTCTCCCACAAGATTCCTTTAGCACTTCTTTTTGATTCCACCACAATTCTCATATAATTTAGGATCATTTGGTGCCAGGTTAATAAAATATTATCCTAAAAGAATCGGCTTTCCTGAAAAAAAGTAGGTAGGTAGTAGGCAGCTACCAAACGGAGGTACAGGTTGTACCTCTCTAGTCCGGCATTCTGTGGTCGGAACTCCCGTGGTCCAGAACTATTTTAGTTTGTCCAATAGGTAGATAGGCAGCTTTTATTATTTGTTTTATTTTTTTTTATCTGAATTATTATTATTATTACAGGAGTATTACATTTTTGCCCCTCAGGCCCCAATGTGGGTCAGTGACCTATGCCCGGGTGGGCTAATCCCCTTAAAAAAAAAGCCACGGGAAATTAAGGTTTGTTTACATCCGGCAGTTCGGCTGCTCTCTCTCTCTCTCTCTCTCTGCTTGTCTATTCAGAGTACAACATTTAACCCTTCAATATATATGAGCAGTAAATAAGTGTTGCTTTCATATTCTTATGTAGAGTAATGACGATATGTTTTCACATGTGCGCACTTACATACGCGCAGTCTCACTTTTTCTTTTTACCATTTATGGTTAGCTTACTTATATTGTTCCATTTATTAGCATTCAATAACATTACAGGTACTTCAAACAACATATTAATTTTTTTACATTAATTTTACTACAGCTAAAAATCAGGGTCTTATTTTCTTCAGTTTTATATGTAGAACCAATCAGTCGCTGGTTTAAACAATGCCGGCAGCCGTCTCGTCTCCTCTAATATTCCACGTATTATTAATATATTGTATTGTTAATTTTGCACACACACACACACACACATTAATTCAATAAAAACAAATTCAGAAACATTAATTAAAATATATATGAACAGTAAATAAGTGTTGCTTTCATATTCTTATGTAAAGTAATGACGATATGTTTTCACATGTGCGCATGCGCACTTTACATACGCGATCTCTCTTTTTTCTTTACCGTTATCATTAGCTACTTCTATTGTTCCATTTATTAACATTAAATAACATTACTTAAAACAACCATATTAATTTTACTACAGCTACAGCGAAGGTCTTATTTTCTTCAGTTTTATATGTAGAACCAGTCAGTCACTGGTTTTGTAATCAACGAAAACAATGCTGTGTCATTTCCTCGTGTGTTTTAATATTCAACGTATTATTAATGAATTGTATTGCTCATTTTGCACACATAAACATTAATTCAATAAAAACGCCATTCAGTAATAAACAATAATGAATCTTTTGTATACAAGAGAAATGACGCTGTTTACACGATTATGCACGTCGTCTGCACGTTGGCGGGCCGTTCAAACCCGTCGAAATTCAAGTTTCCGCCGTCAAAATTTTTATTTATTTATTTTTTCCAATAAAATACGTTAAGAATTAAAAACTCGCGAAATTTGAGAAGCTACTATACGACATTTAACCCTTCAATATGTCTTCAAAGAGACCATGGTGCAGAGAAAGTGGTGCTAGTGCTTCCAAGCATAAGCACAAGTCACTATCTATCCAGGAAAAGGGTGAATTTCCATGGTCCCGAGGTTGCCGGACTAGATAGGTACAACCTGTAATAATGTACAGGTATTGACAATGGGGTTAGGGACCCATTTTGGTGGGTGAGCAGACTTTAATTGAATGGGTTCATTCTATTATTTCATGTTTGAGCCAAACAAATGAGGATCAAGGAATATGCATGCTTATGTGGTGGTAAAGATTCTGAACGTTCTTTCTCACGGGAGTTTGACATGCCAAGTGTCTCCTTATGAGGATTCTGGTATGGTTGGAAAGGTATATCTTTTCAGTCACAGGTTTTGGCTCCTGAGAACCTTTTGTTCATCATTGTATACTTGCCTTGGCCCAGCTCGGTGTAAAAATACGATTTCAGGATTTATTATTTATATTTTATTAGCTGCTTATGGAGTGTTCCATGGGGGTCCGGACCCCCCCTCTATTCACCAGAAAATTCTAATATTTTTTATTTTATGTAGTATTGTATGCAGGCATTTGTGTATAGTAAAAGTGCTTGACTTCAGAACATCTAATATTAAATGCACATAGCTTCTAAATGCCCATAATATTGGTCAGATTAAAAATCGGGGGGTTTCTTACAATGTCTCTCAAAACCCCAAAACACCAACACCTAGCTGGGCAGGTAGGGCGCACTGCGCTCGCCTTATTCTCCCACCCACAACTTCTTGGACCCCTTTCTCTCTTTTTCTTTTTTTTTTTTCCCTGGATCTGCCCCTGGCTTATGGGCAACTTCAACATTGTTGTACTTTGAAAACTTATATGAATTTAAACAAATTTCAGATAGTTGAAGCTCACAGTCAAGAAATAGACGGGATGGATCCTAATGTTCAGGATGGCCTCGAACTAGACTTGGTATCCCAGATGGCTGACATGAGCCTCATGTCTATAGAGGAGATGAAACGCCAAGCAGATGACAAAGTTAAGGAGAAGGTGTTAACCATGGACAACCCTATCTTCCAGACAACAAGACAAAGCTCCAAGGTAACATTCAAAATGCCTTGGGATCATGTGGTATACAGTACAGGTAGACCTCGACTTACGACCTACTCGACATACGACCATCCAGACATAAGACGCCCGGTTAGGTACCAAAAATTCAAACTCCGTACCTATTTTCTAGGACCGAAACAGTTCCATCCGTGCGAGGGTTAGTGTGGGCTGGGTTGCTGTGTGGTGTACAGCGTCCACCAATAACAACTACTCACCACCACCAATAACAACTAACCACCACCACACAACTACACTCACTCACCACCAATAACAACTACACTCACCACCACCAATAACAACTACACTCACCACCACCAATAACAACTACACTCACCACCACCAATAACAACACTCACCACCACCAATAACAACTACACTCACCACCACCATACCAACCACTACCACCACCAATAACAACTACACTCACCACCACCAATAACAACCACTCACCACCACCAATAACAACTACCATCACCACCAATAACAACTACACTCACCACCACCAATAACAACAACACCACCAATAACAACTACACTCACCACCACCTATGCAACAACAACTCACCACCACCAATAACAACAACTCACCACCACCAATAACAACAAATACCCACCAATAACAACTACACTCACCACCACCACAACAACTACACTCACCACCACCAATAACAACTACACTCACCACCACCACCAATAACAACTACACTCACCACCACCAATAACAACAACACCACCACCACCAATAACAACTACATCACTCACCACCCATAACAACAACTCACCACCACCAATAACAACAACTCACCACCACCACAACAACAACACCCACCAATAACAACTACACTCACCACCACCAATAACAACACTCACCACCACCAATAACAAATAACACTACCACCAATAACAACAACACTCACCACCACCCACAACAAATAACACTCACCAATAACAACAACAACACTCACCACCACCAATAACTACACTCACCACCACACCAATAACAACTACACTCACCACCACCAATAACAACAACACTACCCACCACACCACAACAACACTCACCACCACCACACAACAACACTCACCACCACCAATAAACAAACAACAACAACAACACTCACCACCACCAATAACAACAACACTCACCACCACCAATAACAACAACACTCACCACCACCAATAACAACAACACTCACCACCACCAATAACAACAACTCACCACCACCAATAACAACACCCACCAATAACAACAACACTCACCACCACCAATAACAAATAACACTCACCACCACCAATAACAACAACACCACCACCACCACAACAACAACACTCACCACCACCAATAAACAACACTCACCACCACCAATAACAACACTCACCACCACCAATAACAACAACACTCACCACCACCAATAACAACAACACTCACCACCACCAATAACAACAACAACACTCACCCACCTCACCAATACCAACAAACAACACCACCACCACCACCAATAACAACAACACCTCACCACCACCAATAACAAATAACACCCCACCACCAACAACACCAACACTCACCACCACCAACAACAACACTCACCACCACCAACAACAACAACACTCACCACCACCAACAACAACAACACCTTACCACCACCAATAACAACAACTCACCACCACCACACAACAAATAACACTCACCACCAATAAACAAACACTCACCACCACACCAATAACAACAACACTCACCACCACCAATAACAACAACACTCACCACCTCACCACAACAACACTCACCACCACCAATAACAACAACTCACCACCACCAATAACAACAACACCCACCAATAACAACAACACTCTACCTCACCACCACAACAACAACACTCACCACCACCAATAACAACAACACCCACCACCACCAATAACAAACAACACCCACCACCACCAATAACAACAACACTCACCACCACCAATAACAACAACACTTACCACCACCAATAACAACAACACCTACCACCACCAATAACAACAACACCACCACCACCAATAACAACAACACTCACCACCACCAATAACAACAACACTCACTAATTCACAACAACAACACTCACCACCACCAATAACAACACTACCACCACCAATAACAACAACACTCCCACCACCAACAACAACAACACTCACCACCACCAACAACAACAACACTCACCACCACCAACAACAACAACAACACTCACCACCACCAACAACAACAACACCCACTCACCACAACAACAACTCACCACCACCAATAACAACAACACTCACCACCACTCAATAACAACAACACTCACCACCACCAATAACAACAACACTCACCACCACCACACAACAACAACACTCACCACCACCAATAATAACAACAACACTCACCACCACCAATAACAACAACACTCCCCACCACCAATAACAACAACACTCACCACCACACAACAACAACACTCACCACCACCAATAACAACAACACTCCCCACCACCACAACAACTACACTCACCACCACCACCAATAACAACAACACTCACCACCACCAATAACAACAACACTACCACCACCAATAACAAATAACACTCACCACCACCAATAACAACAACACTACCACCACCAATAACAACAACACCCCCACCACCAATAACAACAACACTCCCACCACCAATAACAACAACACTCCCCACCACCAATAACAACAACACTCACCACCACCAATAACAACAACAACACTCACCACCAACACCACAACAACACTCACCACCACCACACAACAACAAACACTACCACCACCAATAACAACAACACTCACCACCACCACACAACAACACTCACCACCACCAATAACAACAACACTCACCACCACCACAACAAATAACACTCACTACCACCAATAACAACAACACTCACCACCACCACAACAACAACACTCACCACCACCAATAACAACACTCACCACCACCAATAACAACAACACCTCACCACCACCACACAACAACACTCACCACCACCAATAACAACAACACCACCACCACCAATAACAACAACACTCACCACCACCAATAACAACACTCACCACCACCAATAACAACAACACTTCACCACCAATAACAACAACACTCACCACCACCAATAACAACAACACTCACCACCACCAATAACAACAACACTCACCACCACCAATAACAACAACACTCACCACCACCACACACAACAACAACAACACTCACCACCACCCAATAACAACAACACTCACCACCACCAATAACAACAACACTCACCACCTCACCAATAACAACACCACCACCACCAATAACAACAACACTCACCACCACCAATAACAACAACACTCACCACCACCAATAACAACAACAACTCTCACCACCAATAACAACAACACTCACCACCAATATCAACAACACTCACCACCAATATCAACAACACTCCCCACCAACAACAACAACACTCACCACCAACAACAACAACACTCACCACCAACAACAACACTCTACCAACAACAACAACACTCACCACCAATATCAACAACACTCACCACCAATAACAATAACACTCACCACCAATAACAACAACACTCACCACCAATAACAACAACACTCACCACCAATAACAACAACACTCACCACCAATATCAACAACACTCACCACCAATATCAACAAACACTCACCACCACCAACAACACTCACCACCAATAACAACAACACTCACCACCTATCAACAACACCACCACCACCAACAACAACACTCACCACCAATAACAACACTCTCCACCAATAACAACAACACTCACCACCACCAACAACAACAACACTCACCACCACCAATATCAACAACACTCACCACCATTAACAATGTAATACTGTACAGTATGAATGTTTGTGTGTTAAAACACACACATAGTGAACAAGATGATTGTAAGCTTCTGCAACATTGAATGATAGTATCAATCCCTAGCCACTTTATTTGGTTGTTATTATTCCCTCTCAGACATAATTAGTAGTAATTGTAGTTAAACAATGTTTGAAAGTTCTTATTGTTTTGGTGAATAACTACTGGTAATAAAAGAATATAGTGTGATTTAAAATAAAAGGACAGCGTGTAAATTAAAAGAGGAAATAACAAGGAATTGGTTCAAGAGGGTCCAAGGAGTCCGTCTTTCACTCGCATTTTGCTCTTTAAATTAATTGTTTACTCTGTAAGTGGGACCTGACTGTACATGTACAAGGTTACCTGATCCAGGATCAGATATAAAATTGATCCTCCATGTCTCGTCATTTGAAAATGATAATGCAATTATTTATTCTTTTCCATCAGATTGAACGACTTATCGAGGAAATTAAAAAAATTCGTCGTTTGGAAACGAAAGAAAAGTCTGTAATTGTTTCCCAGTGGACATCAGTGTTGGATATTGTCCATATGCATCTAAGAGAAGTTGGCATTAAGTGTCACACTATATCTGGTAAAGTTCTAGTCAAGGAGCGTCCTGCCATTGTCAGTGATTTCAACATGAATCCCCGAGGGGCACAGGTAAGTTTCAGTAATAAGGGTGAGCATTAACTAAAAAAAAAAACATTCCTTTGGTGTTTGCTGTGTTTATCTACTTACCTCTCAACTTCACTATGTTTATTTTCAGTTTCCTGGGATAATATGATCTCTATACTGAAACAATCAAAATTATTCCTACAGATTCAAATATAGTGCTGTATGGTACCTACACAACACAATTTAACTACAAACACAGAATACTCTATAATAATTTGATATATAAAAATATATTGTTATATACAGTAGTCAAGGTAATTAAAAGGGGTGAATGTAAACCTTTTGCCCCTTGTCCTATGAAGGGAAGACAATACAGGTCTGTCTCTACAGTAAACCACAACTTAACGGACAACATCTTTAACGGACACACCTGACCCGTTCGGACTAGGTTCATTTACAGTAAACCCTCGAAATTCAGGACAATTTGAGGGGAAAGGGGGTCCACACCTGCTGATTGTCCAGACTTATACCAAGTATTTTTTCGGGGTGTACTGGGGGCCACTGTGCACACCCCAACACCACCCACACACCCCAACACCACCCACACGCCCCAACACCACCCACACGCCCCAACACCACCCACACGCCCCAACACCACCCACACGCCCCAACACCACCTGGCACACCTCACACAGGCCCCAACACCACACCCACACACCACCACACGCCCCAACACCACCCACACACCCCAACACCACCCACACGCCCCAACACCACCCACACACCCTATCCGATGGCTAATTATATAGACAACACATGTATACTCCAGGAAAGAGTGGAAACGGCTGGGAAGCAGAGGTCCTCCTGCTTTACACACCTCGGCTGGGATTCCATCAGGCCCTGTGGCTTTGTTATTCTTCATCTGTTTGATGGTAGCAGCTACCTCATCCAGGGATGTAGGATAGCTGAGGTTGGTGGTGGTGGTGGTGAGTGTTGTTGGTGGTGAATGTTGATGGTGGGGGTGTGTGTTGTGGAGGTGATCAGTGTTGGTGGTGGTTATGAATTTTGTTGATGGGGGTGAGTGTTGTGGTGGTGGTGAGTTTTGCTGGTGGGGGCTGAGTATTAGGATGATGCTGATGAGTGTTGATGGTGGGGATGAGTGTTGTGGTGGTGAGTGTTGTTGGTGGTGATGAGTGTTGTGGTGGTGAGTGTTGTTGGTGGGATGAGTGATGTGGGATGAGTGTTGTGGTGATGAGTGTTGTTGGTGGTGATGAGTGTTGATGGTGGGGATGAGTGTTGTGGTGGTGAGTGTTGTTGGTGGTGATGAGTGTTGATGGTGGGGATGAGTGTTGTGGTGGTGAGTGTTGTTGGTGGTGATGAGTGTTGATGGTGGTAGTGAGTGTTGTTGTTGGTGATGAGTGTTGATGGTGGTGAGCGTTGTTGGTGGGGGTGAGCGTTGATGGTGGGTGTGATTGTTGTGGTGGTGATGAGTGTTGTTGGTGAGGGCGAGTGTTGTTGGTGGTGATGAGTGTTGATGGTGGTCAGTGTTGATGTTAATGGTGGTCAGTGTTGTTGTTTATGGTGAGTGTGATGGTGATGGTGAGTATAAACGCCTTGGTTAAGGACGTTCAGGTGACGGGCAAGTCGAAGGGAATGATTGAAACCCGTCTTTTGACGCATTCAATATTTATTGATGTGATCAAAACCTGCAGAGAACAAGGCGTTCATTAGTATTACATGGTGATCTATCTGATACGTAATTAGTTAGTCTCAGACTATTTCATCTTAATTACAATTGATTATTAAGCATAGTGACATGATACGAAGCTCTTAACTCTTATCAATCTTAGTTACACTTCATTCCGCAATGTCTTATTTCTCCAGATAAGGCAGAAACGAGTAGGCATAATTAGTCCACAATATTTCAGTACTGAGGGGTATGTCATCACTTTGGCTGTACTTACAAGTGCTGCTCAATGCGAACCAGTACAGTATGATGTTCCAAGGGACAATAGTACTGTGTAAATTGTTCCAGCACAAAACTCGGCCAGGATTGGGAGTCGGTGTTCACCACAGAGGGCTGGTCCTCATAGCATCACTCGAGAGGGCGATCTGCATCATGGAGGCCAGGCGGCCACGCCACCCTCTAAACCAGGGGTGTCAAACATGCGGCCCGACACACTGTTGCATGCGGCCCATTTGCTGCTTTAGCCTTACCTTGAGGAGCTAAAACTAAATAGTGAGTGTATCCCTCAGCCGAATAAAATAGTTGCTGTTTCCTAGAACAAAATACTCAATCAACATCAGCTTTTTGAACGGCAACTATCAGAGAGTAATCTTTCTCACTTTCCGACCTTGAAGTTCCTGCAAGGCACACCTGAGTTTCATGCTGATATCAACACAAAAAAGTACTGCATCAAGATTTCCAAATTAATGAATGCATTCCAAGAAAGATTTGCTGACTTTAAAAGACTTGAGAAGGATTTTTTCATTTTTCGGGACCCATTCTCTGTTGGTGTTATTGAGGTACCAGAACATCTTCAGTAAGAATTAATTGAGCTCCAGTGTGATTCAGTGTTGAGGAACAAGTTTTCGCGTGTTGATGTTGGCACATTTTATCAATATTTTGGACCAAATTATCCCAGGATTAATTGTTTTGCCTCAAAGATTATGTCAATGTTCGGAAGTACATATGTCAGTGAACAACTCTTTTCTGTGATGAACTTGAACAAGTCTCGGCTTCGGTCTCAACTTACTGATGCGCACCTTAATTCAATACTGAAGGTTGCTACAGCTCAGTCGTTAGTGCCAAACTTTGATGCACTGGTCCACACCAAGAGGTGCCAATTATCAGGAAGCAGGAGTAGCAAACAATAAGATTGATCAAGGTTAGTAAACACTTGATATGTTTGTTTTTAAGGGTTTCGCACGAGCGCAGACTAAATCCACCTTTTTTTATTTTGTCGTACAACTCGCCTAAGAGGTGATTGCAAAGTGCTCATAATTATGTTACTTGGCCCGCAATACTGTGTACTCGTATTAAATCTGGCCTGCCTTGGCAAATGAGTTTGACACCCCTGCTCTAAACCATACACTCAGCAGAATTAGGGCATCTTGTTTGTGCAGGTCGTGTGTGTGTGGGGGGGGGGGGTTGTGGTGATGAGTGTTGTGGTGGTGCTGGTGAGTGTTGGTGGTAGTGATGAGTGCTGGTGGTAGTGATGAGTGCTGGTTGTGGTGATGAGTGTTGGTGGTGGGGGTGAGTTTTGTGATGAGTGGTGAGGGTGAGTTTTGTGGTGGTGATGAGTTGTGAGTGTTGTGGTGGGGTTGAGGGTGAGTGTTGTGGTGGTGGTGCTGCTGGTGAGTCTTGTTGGTGGTGATGAGTGTTGTGGTGTTGATGGTGGGGATGAGTGTTGTGGTGGCGAGTGTTGATGGTGGGGATGAGTGTTGTTGGTGGTGATGAGTGTTGTGGTGGTGATGAGTGTTGTGGTGGTGAGTGTTGTGATGGTGAGTGTTGTGATGGTGAGTGGTGATGAGTGTTGTTGGTGGTGATGAGTGTTGGTGGGGATGAGTGTTGTTGGTGGTGATGAGTGTTGATGGTGGGGATGAGTGTTGTGGTGGTGAGTGTTGTTGGTAGTAGGCAGCTATCAAACAGGGAGGTACTACTGCCTAGGAAGATATTGGCAGCATAATGTGTTGTCTAATGGTAGACCCTGCTGCCATATGGTACCTGTACCACAAAAATTGTGACCAAGTCCCTGATCTGACTTTCTGGTTCATTTACACACAATTGCAGGGTTTCAATTGTTTCTCTTACTTTGACAACACAACACAACACAACACAACACAACATACATACAGTATATCGTTTCTCACTTTTGATCTTTTTCTTTTTTTGTGACCTGACATTCCATCAGAAAGTCCTTAATATGAGACCACTAATCCCCTACCCTACCTCCACCTGACATTGAGTCAGGTCAGGTCCCTCCCCAAAATACTTCAGCTTTCGTCTTTGTTTAAGATATTTTCAGAATATGGTCTCGATTTTCGACCTCGGAAAATTTTTTCCCAAAGTAGGATTTTTTTTTTAATTCGGGCTATGGGAATGCTTTTCCGAGCTAATTTCAATTTCAGCTATCGAAGAGTTCCTGGTTTGAGGGTTTCCGGCTAATGGAAATATTACTGTATTAGCACAGGCTCAGTACAAGTGCAGTATATAAAACACCAATGTGTGTTCCAACTTTATTTTTCTAGTTCAACAGGGGAAGGTGTATGGGTGGCTCTTACAAAACAGATACACATTATTCTTATTTTCTAAACTAATGTGGATTGGGCGCTTTCACTGGGTTGAGTGTAGGCCACCTTTCATTTGAGATTTCGGGGTAACGAGTCGTGTTATCAGGTTGCTGTTGCCATGTGCTTGGGAGTCACAGGGTGTGGTGTCCTTATCGAGGTAGCCCGGTCTGTGATGCCTCAGCATTGAGCCCCATATGGTCCAACATAGGTAGGTCTTACAGTCTTCTATTGAAAGGCTCGAGATGCACATAAAAACAGTTTATGGCCTTCAAACCAGGGGTTGGTGATATAGTTTCAGCTAATAGAATAACGTGGAGGGAAGCTAATTATTGAGAATCTAAGAGTAAAATAGCTGCTGTCCTTATTTTGTGTTTCAGGTAATGTTACTCTCCTTGGCTGCAGGTGGAGTTGGACTCAACTTGATTGGTGCCAACCACCTTTTCTTGCTTGACCTGCATTGGAATCCCCAACTAGAAGCACAAGCCTCTGACCGCATCTACCGAGTTGGCCAGACTAAACCTGTGACAATTCACAAGTAGGGCATTTTTACTGTTATAGATATTTAAGGTTTTTTGGTAATGATCCTCAAGCATAAGTACTACAGATTGACAACCCCTTATCCAAAATTCCAAAACCTCTGAAAACCAAAAGTTTTTTCATGGAGCATCACTCGTGTGCATGACATACCGCGAATTTTTATTTTATTTATTTATTCATTTTTATTTTTTTACAAGGATTAATCTTCCTGGGCACGGGTCACTGACCCACATCGGGGCCTGTGGGGCAAAAATGCAACAATAATAATAATGCATAGTAAATAAAATTTATAATAAAAAATACACAATTCAAAATAAAATAATATTGATGATAACAATAATAATAACAACACTAATAATGATAATAACAACAACGAAATACCCCTACAAAAATGAAAAAAATGAGCGAGGAACACGACCTAGATCTATGAATTATTATTATTCCCCCCCCGCCCAGGCCCTGATTTGGGTCGGTGACCTGTGCCCGGGTGGGCTAATCCCTGTAAAAAAAAAAATATAAATAAAGATAAAACTAACCTAACGTAACCATTCTAAAATCCAAAAAATTTTGAAATCCGAAACATTTGGTGTGAGGTTGATAAAATAGTATCCTAAACGAATTGGCTTTCCTGAAGAAAGAATCCCACTCTGAATACCATGAGTCATTGTTGACAAAGAGCACACAGCTGATCGGCTTACCACAATGTCTGTCTTCAACACTTAGTAAATTATTACAGTACAGTTGTGTATTTATCATCACTTAATAAATACTATTGTACAGGTGTACAAGTAGCCAAACTGAGTCATCATATAACAGTCAAAGGCAGTAAATAACATTTTTAAGAAGGTGTCTTCGTATCAAAAACTATACAGTGTTGTAAGCTGGTCTACTGAAAGCTCTCACACTAGTGCATCTGAGTAAACAACCTTTTGATCCAGCTTATCCTTTTATTTTCAAGTCATATTACAAATTACATACAGTATTGTATTTTTTCTCTATTACTGAAGTTTTTATATTATTCATGATGAACCATAAACTTTAACAGGCCAATCAACTGAGAATATAATACTGAATCAACAAATAAATAAACTTGACGAGTGGAGACACGCCTGATCAGTCCAAGCCTGCTTACATACTCAAGTGTCTTAGTTCTCAGTAGACCTACAGTATAGTAAATCTGATGGGAGACCAGTGTACAGTATTCACTAAGTGTTGTTCTTTTATTTTTTTATTTTTTTTTTATTTTTTAGTATTTCTGTTGACCAAAGTAAATTCTGATGTATTGAAGTCCAGTTTATTGAGGTTTTACTCTAGTCTTTTTCTCTTCTATTTTAATTTCTTTTTACTCTTATTTGTTTTGCCCCTTAGGCCCCATTATGGGTTGATGACCTGTGTCCGGGTGGGCTATTCCCTGTAAAAAGAAAAAAGTACATTTAAAAAAAATATTTGTTGCACAGTAATTATAAATAGATTTTATGTGACAGTAAAGGCATGGCCAGGTGCAAAAGATGAAAAGAAAATGAACGATTATTCTAGCAAAATTTGGAAATTATCAAATTATGTATACTGTTAATACTGTAATATAATTATACTATAAATAAGCAGATGCTGTCACTTTGGGCTTGTGGTGAAAGCAGGTTAGGTTGGTGATATGATGATATAGGGTGGCCTGCTTTGACCTGTACCAGTTGTGATTACTGTTCATGTCTTAACACTGGTACAGTACTCACTTGAGTGTGTCCTGGTTCAGTAATGTATAGTACTGCACAACACAAATTGTATGCAAATAAGCAGTAAGTGGGAGATGAACCCTGTAAAATTGCTGGTGACAATGAACTAAGCATGTTCTGATGCTAGCCTGGGGGGGGGGGGTGGAGCATCTGGGAGATGCATCAGCCTATCACAGACATCCCATGAGGTCACATGACAGGGATTAGGTGGTGAAATGGATGATCACTTACTTTTGACTGTACATTCCTCTTTGACATCCTGAAGCTTATTGACTACATGAGTAAAAAAGTATGTGATCATTTTGGCAGGAAGTTATGCTTGCCATCTGACTGATTGTGTTTGTATTTTCCGCTTGACAACAGCTGCGGACATTTCAAATCCAGGTAGGTGGGTAATCATTGATTACCTCAGGGAGTTGTGGCCCTGCCTTATCAGTGGTTCCCACCCTGTGGGTTGTTGTTAGGAAAGACATCCAACTATAAAACTTTGTCTCAACATACCTGATGGCAATTGTCACCAGAGCTGTGCACATCTCCTGGTCTCTGCTGCATTTTGTGGGCTGGCACCCTGTAATTGCAGTGATAAGTGGGAGGGGCATTCCATTCTGGATTTACCCAACAGCTTTAATCGGGTAAGTGTGGAAAATGGCCGGAAAACATTGATGATTATGGTGATATCTTATATGGCATGGCTGAAGGGAATTCCTATTTATGCATCATATCATATATTACAGTTAAGGTTCATCCCAGTGTACTTGTTAGATGGCAGAATTTTGGGGGACAGTAGTTATTTAGCATTTACACTGATCTGATAGAACAGTGAACAAGCTTTAGGAATACAAATAGCTCCATGGACAATTTAAGCATTGCTAGGGGTATTCCAGCTGGATGATCTTGCTTGTTCATTTGTCTCTTTTCCAAGGATATAGGATGGGATTTTAATCTTCTGCCCTTATTTTTTGAGAAATGGATGTCATTAATGTATTTTCTTATCATTGCAGATTTGTGGTTGAGAATACTGTAGAGGAAAAGATCTTAGAACTTCAACAGAAGAAATTGCAACTTGCAGATGATGTTTTGTCAGGTGCAAAGCGCTCCTTACAAAATAAGCTCACACTGGATGACATGAAGACTCTCTTTAATGTAGTGTGAAACAGTGTAACTCTACAAGTATTACTACACCTGGCAATTGTTTACATTCATATGAAGTGCAGTAGAGTCTCATCAAAAGGCTTAAAATGTTGTACAATATTGTAAGAGTTTTGAAAGTGTAATATGCAAATATTTAATAATGCTTTGTGATTAGGTTCTTATTTTTCAAATGACAGGATAGTTTTTGTTAATACTTTAAGAGAGACTCTTTCTTCTTTTCATGTACAGTCCCCCAAAAAAGTATTGTTAGATTTTCCTTCGCTACAATTTGAAACGCTAGATGAAATGCATTGATATGATCCTAGTGCATCATAAGTTGGTATGCCTGCTCACCATATTGGCAACAGAACAGCAAGAGATGGGGGTAGGATTTGGGGAGGAAGTCATCCTTGAATAGCATACTAGGTACTTCAATATAACAAGAAATCCATTAAGGTATATTAATGTATGTATTGTTCGAAAACGTATATACCAACCATTCAGAAACAGGTCGAGTAACATTGCTCGGAAAGCCTCAAATCACATCGACCCCTTGGCTAAGTGATACTAATTTGGGGGGAAGGGGGGGGAACTGTACAAATAATTAATTCATATGTATCCATAATATCTTGTCTGTCTAATCTTCCTACACATTATAGATTTTCTTAATAGCTTTTATAGATTTTTTATTATTCATTTTGCAAAATTTGTATAGAAAGCTAATTTTATGTATTCTATCAAATTTGTTTTTTTCTGTCCTTGCATGATGTGTATGTTGCACCCCTGGAGTGTGAAGTTTATCCACTCATTGAAGGTGAAATTAATTCAGTGATCCCTCGGTTAACGAGCGCCTCGGTTAACGAATTACCTTCCATAAGATTCTTCACTTCGGTTAACGAGCAAACCCGTGGTTAATGAATTCCTTACAAATTTTTCCCAACATGTTTTCGCCTGCATTTGGCTGCCCACCAGCTGTAGTATTAGTTCGCCAATACAGTAATCGGTTCTAGGGCTTAAATTCCTTACTATTTTAGTAAATATCAAGAAGTTTGTACTATTCAATAATTTTAAAAGTTTTATATTAATTTTTTTAGTCTTTTTAACAATTATTGAACACAATTGAAGTACAGGAAACTAGTTTTTTGCACGCCAAACTGCCACTCAACACACCAAGCTTGGCATTAGTTTGTTTACCTGTTCAGAGGAAGGAATATCTTGTTTGAGACTCAACATAAATGCTTTTTTTCTGTGTTTCCAGTCAAATTATTGGTCATTTTGAAATATATTTTACATATTGATAATATTTAGCTCAGTGCAGTGTTGATTTAAAGAAAATAATCTTGAATTACACCATGAACTAAATTTTATGGGTGAAATGGCGGCATGGGGTGACTTCTCTTCCACCCCAATGCCTTCTCTTCTCCCTTCTCCTCCACCCCCATTCTAATTCCCATCAATCATCATCAACCAGAAGCCTTCTACATGCACACCTCAAAGTAAGTGTACTTTACTGCATTTATTTTTAGTTTGTATGTAATTTTCGGTGAGCTGGAACCAATTACCCAAAAACCCATTGAAACAATGGTTTCCGTTAAAATTTTTTTCTGTGAACGAGCAACCTTCTGGAACGAATTGTGCTCGTTAACCGAGGGACCACTGTAATCATTTTATAAGGGAACCTGGAATTGTTGGTAGTCCAAACAGTTTTTGCAGGCATAAGAGCATAAGAATGGAGGAAACTGCAGAGGGCCTATTGGCCCATTTTGGGCAGTCCCATTTACACCCAACAAGAAACATCAATTACCTACATAACTCCAGCTAACAACATAGACAATAAAGTGAAGTACCCCGTCCACCAAACTCTGTACACAGTAACGTATCCTAACCCAATCTATGCGAACCTATCCTATCCTAACCTAACGTTTTTTATTCTAACCAATCCTATCCTAACCTATCCTATTTTGACATCCTAACTTATCCTAATTTACCCTAACCTATCATAAACTAACTTCATACCCCCAAATATTGTAAAGGTGGTTAAACTTTAGGTGAAATAAGCTTTGTTGGAGATTCTTCACGTGATCCAACCATTTAAATATTTCTTTACTTGTATTTATAACTTTCTCTTCTATACAGTTTACTTTCTCTTTTAATACAATGGACTTTCTTCAGAAATTTAGTAAGAAGTTGAAAGAAAATTCTCTATGAACTTTTGATGGACACACTAATTAAGACTTTTAATAAAACATAATTTATTCAAAAGTCTTAACATAAACCCAAACGTAAACCTAATCCAACCTTTCTCCACAAAGCAGTACTGGGGCTAATTTTTAGTGGATCCTCAGATTTAATAATAAATCTTAACTACAAACCTCCTGAGTCAATGATCGAACATCTTAAAAATATATATAATGCCTCACTTGCAACTGGCTTCTTCTCTCCCAAATATAAAATAGCCAAAAGCAGGCAAGAACCATACCCAAGTAAAGAACTAAAGACCTCTTACTACTGGAAACACCCGGTAAAATATTGGAATAAAAAAAGTCAACCACAGACTCAGAAATTATCTAGGCCAAGAAAACAAATATAACCCAAGACAGCATGGCTTTCGGAAAAATCGAGGAACCAACACAGCAATAGCACTAATATACGAATCAATTGCAAATGATGCAAGCAATAGAGACCAATGTAATATAATTCTAAGAGATGTATCAAAAGCATTTGACAAAGTCTGGCATGAAGGACTGAACTTGAAAACAATCAAACTGGACATGCCTTCCAATATCACAACACTACTATGCTATTTTTTAGACAATAGAAGCCAAATTAATCATCGACAACCATCTAGAACAAACATTCAACCTTCACAGTAGAGTTCCCCAAGGCAGTAATATATCGCCGACATTATACACTGTATACACAACAGTGCTACAACCACATCAATCAGAATATATAGCATATGCAGATGATGTCACACAGATAGTTAGGTACCCAGGAAAATCCAAACAAATGATGGCCATCAGAACAAGCAGAGAAAGGGATAAAAAATACCTATGAATGAAAATGGAAGATAAAAACCCGTAAAAATTTTTTTTAACATGTGTAATAAAGAAAACCACCTTAAAAGTTCAAACTTACAATTTATTTACAAAAGTATAGCCAAAGCTGATGATGGAACTTTATACAAAATATATACAACAGAAATCAGAAAACTCACTGTGGGTGCGTGTGATCCAGGTATATGCTAATAGCCACAAGGAAGGAAGAAAACACGAAGTTCCCAAGCGCTTTCGTGTGATTCACATCTTCAGGGGTGAGTACAGACTAAAGCCCCGACCACACTATCGAGCAGTGCCCGGCGGGCTTTAAGCCTGTGTTGTTGTTGTACACGCGGGGGTGGTTGGCGGCAGTCATAGTCGGGCGCCGGTAGCTAGTACGTGGTCGGCAGTGGCGGGTGTGGTGCGATCACCATGGTGTGTCGCAGGAATAATCACCGGACAGTTAAAGCGAAGATCATAGCGTTGTGTACTATAATAATTGCCGCTGTACGCAAAAAGATGAACCAAATGCAGAAAAGGGAATGGTGTAAAGAGTGGTTAGGTCGAAGAAAAGTATTGGGAGGTCATGCCACGATTTTACGTGAACTGCAAGATGGACATGAGCTAGTCTTCACTAATTACATGAGAATGGACCCCTAATACATTTTCAAAACTTCTAGCGAAAGTGAAACCATATATAAAAAAACAGGCTACCAATATGAGGGAGAGTACATCTGCAGAAGCTCTTCTAGAGGCAACGCTCATATATCTTTCAACTGGGTGCACCTACACGTCACTTCAGTATAGAACAAGGATATCAAAACAAAGTTTGTCTCCCATAATACCTGCAACTTGTCAAGTTCTCAACTGGCTCAGCCATGTTAATATTGTTATTATTATCCTGTAGTGGATTTCTCCCCTACAAACGCTGTTTGTCGCTGCCTAGCCGACCCCACCAATTCCCCAGTGTATGCCTCGTGGTCTAGGTCAACCAGCGCCGCCATACACCACGGAGCGGGGGTCAACTGCTAAGCCACGCCTACCCCCGCTATTTAAGACCTGACCTCGTGGTGATCTTCCTCTTTCTACCTACAGCCGCAGCCAGCAACACCTCCTCCTCCGCCGCTGCCTGGCGGCCCTCGTTCCTCCTCCGCCTGCCTGGTGGTCCTCTCTCCCGCTGGCGAGCATGGCGACCCACAAGCTGTCCTTCTCTGAGCGTCCTCACCAACCAGCTCTCTCTACATCACGCTTGTAACCATGCTGCCTTCCCAGCACCAAGCTGCATTGTACATCCAATACAACATGTATATAGAGAGTACATTGTGAGTTTCCTTTCTCCATTCTATCCTGAGTGTGAACCAAACATCTGAAACCCCACAGTACCGTAATCAAATTAGTACATGTGCACTCCAGCTTTGCACTAAGAAATCTATATAAGTCTACCGAAAAATACAGTTGAGAAACTTTTTTATAAAATGTACTACAGTACTGTACACTAATGTACAACAATTTTTATCTCGAGCAAAATATATGACGTTTATATTCAAATTATTGGCTGTCTTGCAAGGATTCCAGCAATGCAAATTGTAATCTAACTTTAGTCTGAGATATTATATAAGATAAGAACTGTAAGCCTAAAAGCCTGGCTGGGGCAGGGGTGGTGGGGGGGGGGACGTAACCACACCACCCAGCGAGGGTTGGTGGGGGGTTGAGGTGATAAGTTTGAGGCGAAGGTCTCTATGTGTTTATTTAACAGTCCTACTAAGCTTCTCTCATTTTAAAATGCCAGTGATATGACCTAGGAGAATATAATTAACATTGCTGGGATTCTTGTAAGATACTGATTTATTTGAATATAAACATGTTGTAATTCGCACTAGACATAACAATTTTAGTAGGCTATCTGATCATTCTGGAACTGGAAATAATTATTGGCAAGCAAGTGATTGATAGATTTGTAACAAAGAGGGCACAGCAGTAGGTGTTAATATCTTCGAATTATAAAAATTTCAATATAGCAAATTTTTCGTTTGTGTGATCTTTTCTTTTCAAGTAGGTCATTGTCCGTACAACTCTCTTTTGTGCAGTAACCAGAGATTTTGTTTTTGAAGAGCCAGAGGCCCCCCATAGTGTGTGACAGTGTATCAGGTGTTGGTAAACAAGACCATGATAGATTTCTTTCATTACTGTGAGAGTGAGTGACTGTCGAGTGTGATACATGATACCGCACTGTTTATTGACTTTACTGGGAATGGCTTGCATGTGGTTTCTCCAGTTAAGTTTCTCATCAACAATAACTCCTAGGAATTTAGTATTTTGTTTGCGTTTGAGGACTGTATTACCAAGGTACAGGGGTATACTGCCAGACTGGAAGTCACTAATACTAAGGGTAAATACTTAACTCTATTCTTAATTTCTAAGGGTCGCTGCCACCAGACCCCCTCTGGACAGCATGTAGCTCGTTAGGTAGCGTGCAGAGTGGACTAGGCATTGGGTTAGGTTTTCCATTGACCAGATCGATAAGGGGAAAGAAGGGTGAAACCATACATACAATTGAATGGGTCTTCCTCAGAAGAACCACGAAAATGTTGGTTACCCAGATGGGCACCAGACGTCTTACATTAATGGCGTGTCATCCACATACTTATTGCATAGCAATCTGTGACCTCCTTACCTCGGTCATTCCTTCTTACACTATCCCTTA